AATAACTTCTTTTAGAAGGCAGTTTCTGCGTAAAACATGACCAATCCAATTAGCCTTCCGTTTTCTTATTTCGTGTAGGATATTCCTCTGCTCACTGACTCTAATTAACACGTCTTCATTTCTCACATAATCGGGCCAACTGATCTTCTCCATCCTTCTTCAACACCACGTTTCGAAACTTTCCAGATGTTTCTGATCTACTGCCCTAAGTGTCCATGTTCCAGCCCCATACAGAGCTATGCTCCAAATGTAGCATTTCACTAGTTTCTTCCTCAAATTTAAGTCCAATTTGCTGGTAAAAAGATTCTTCTTCTTGCTAAATGCAGCTTTTGCCATGGCAATCCTGGATTTAATTTCACTAGCACACCTTCCATCATGATTAATTAATTATACTCCCTATATTAATTTTGCCTTTCCTCTGGTTTCGATGAAACATAACACGGACATCACGAAAAACTTACCGAAGGCAATCTCAGACTGTGTAAAAGTGAAAGCAGGTGTGTAATCGGCCTCATACTAAACCAACCGTGGGTCCGAATAAGTAACAGGCTTGAGAAGTACTTACCATCTTCTGAGATGTGATGCCGTATAGTTTGGTACTTCACTGACGTTTGGGAAAAATTAATTTCTTGCATCATCGTTGTCTGAGGTGTGCTATCAAGCAAACCGCAAGGAGCAAACAGAAGCTGTTTTTTTATGCATGCTTAAACCTTGAAGATTGAAAAAGTAGGCTTTTCCGAATTGTCAAATAACTGTAACCGCACCATGCTGGGACCTCGGGAATATTTTTTTCATTTACGTTGTTTATTTACCATGCACTACATGGACACGAAATGTAGTACTGTTAACAATGGACGATACACAATTGACTCCAGCACCAGCAAACGCCAAGGACAACATCCGGTCTTTCTGAGAGACAAGCAAACTGCAGGTCTCTTGAAAACCCAGAACGGAGCAGGAAGTATCCCGCTGTGTTCTTGGGGATTTCAATGCTTAACTTCGAGGGTTCGAGTCTTTGAAAATTTGAGACTTGACAGAAACGAGTCGCAATAATTTTCGAAGGGGCGAACCGAGCGATTGTTAGCGTACCTCCATTTATTTAAGAGCTGTCAGAGGGACCGTGTTGTACTTAGGCCCAAATTAACATGGAGCTGGTTAGGGATTGGCTGAATGCAAATGAAAGGAACACCCAAATTTGAGGTTCAGCCAATCAGCAAAATTTCAGAGGAGAGGAATCCAGGCGTTCCCGGAACTGTCGGGACTTCTGCCTCTCCAGAGCAGTCAGCCATTAGAAGGCAATAAGAGCAGTCAGTCATTAGAAGGCAATAAGAGCAGTGAGTTATTACAAGTTACTACAAGTTATTACAAGTTACTACAAGTTATTACAAGTTAGTTATTACAAGTCGTCAGAAGCAGTGTACAATTCAAAGTGCTACAGCCGGGTAATAGGTAATTGTTGTGAACATTTACAATAAACGCAACAGTGTTGGTGAAGGGTATGTTTTTCAGTGTCTTCTCTCTCCCTGCGTGAGCAAGGCCCATTAGTCGCCCTGAGACAGAATCTCGTCCTGCCGTCTGAGCAGTCGGAACCCCAAACGTCCCCCCCATCCAAATCCCCACCTTTGTTTTTCCCATTCAAAACTCGTGGATGTCATCCAAGTCCACTGGCGCCCACACAAATCCAAATTCAGCATAATCCCACTCCTACCCTGAACCAGAAAGCAACAGGAAGCGGCGGATACAAGTACAGACCACAAAGGGGCGGACGTGAGGGACGGCAATAAGTGACGACCAACTCGAGAGGCTTGAAGTCTCACTGAGCGGTAACGACGAAAGAAGAAGAAGAAGAGGAAGAGGGCGGTAAGATAACTTCTACAGGACTATACCGCGTCACATCCTGGAAGATGGTACAGTCGCTTCTGTGACAATCTCGTATCTAACAAATAGCAGCCTGATCAATTTCTCCGCCCGGTTGCACAATACCCCCTGACAGTTCATCACCTGAGTGCAGGGTGTACTACCGCCAACAACACCGAATCTCGGGAAAGTGGGAACCAGCAGCAGTCAGAACAAAACACGTTCTGAAATCTCACACTTGCAAATGAGATAAACGTGTGGAGATAGCGCAACATAGCGCGGAGAATCGGAGAAGTGCGTTATCTCATTTTTGTCTAAAAGTGAAGATGGAACCTCTCATCACGCGTCTATCCTTGCGTCTGTACGTCTTCACTTTGCTATACCGACGGCAGGGGACGTGCTGCTCGTTGGTCACCATCATGTCCGCTGTCAATTGCACAAAACTCGGCGCCACTTCCTTCCTCCACATCTGCAGGTGACGCACATCACGTATCACGGGGTCTCTTTAACAAACACATGCTTTTCTTTTTTTAAAAAATCAAAACCATACGGCCTTCGCAAATCGATTCGCTTTACATTATCAGGCGGGCTGAAAATGAGAAGCTGGTATTCCCGTCCTTAATCGTTATGAGAGCCTGGAACCGCGACGCAAACAGAAGAACACAACAGCTCATTTATTTACATAGCCACACACGCTTCGTGCTGTAAAAACGCTTTGATCAAACAAACGCAGCTGTAACTTCTGCTGACCGCCATCAATATTGGCGCATTTGTTTGTTCAGTGATCGCTATCTTTAGCTATTTTAACAGCTGATTTCCATAATATCGACAATTTTCACTGAAGATATAAAGAGTTTATTGGTGCGATCTCATGTGGGCTGGTTCCACGAAAAAACCTTGCCAAGGTACTAGGAAACTTTGACATTTCAATTTGGAAACAAAAATCACAAGTTGTTACGAGCGTGTTTAATTTACATGCGTGTAATTTCGGACATGAGTCAGTATATTGACTTGTTTATTGTTTATTGCTTATTTAACGACGCTTCCAGCAGCTGAGACTGGGCAATTGTATGCTAGATAGCGAAAAATCTTATGGAAATCTTATGGAAGGAATGAGGAAAACCACAAAACCCTCAGCCAAAATAATCGGTCCATGATCGGAGATATGAACCCGGAACATTCGTAATATGATGAGATGGTCACATACGAGTAATTAGCTGCATTAACGCATGATGACGGCAGGAGAAGAAAAAATATTATATTTTTGGATACTAACCGTCGTCTTGTCTTCATCTAAAAACCGTCCTGTTTATTTTTCAAACTACAACGTTTCGGAGACTGGATTCTGTCTCTGTATTCAGGTAAAACCTACTGATTTGGGCCCAATCAGTATAGCTAGTACCTATCTCCTGACGATAGGGACTAGCTCTATTGATTGGACCCAATCGAGTAGATTTTACCTGAAGACAGAGACAGAATCCAGTCTCCGAAACGTTGTAGTTTGAAAAATAAACAGGGCGGTTTTTAGATAAAGACAAGAAGATGGATAATGTCCAAAAACACAATATTTGTACTAATGTACCATCGTCATAGGCTTTTAGACCTTATTCGTAGGAGATGAGATCGCCGCAAATAGGCTAATAGCTCAATTAGCAAAAATGGTTCATAAACATTACGTTGAGCGCTGTCCACCATGTTGGGTAATGGCCTGTTCGATACACTGTGGATCCTTTTGTGTCAACAGGCTCAATGGAAGTTCTTCCTCAACTGGGCCCGTTAGGAAGCGCTGGTCCCGATCTGCACATCATTTGATCTTTCTGACGGGCTCAAGTGAGAAGCACGCGTTCCACCCCTACACCCGATCGCGCAAACGGATCCATTTGCAGACACGCTATGTATTCCTACACTCCGACCATCATGGGAAGGAGCGTGCGCTCTCCTGAATACTGAAGCAGATTGTTACTGGGTTCCGGTGAGAAATTCACACAGAACTTTGCTTCCGTTAGATATGACGTTCCTGGGTTCCTAGAGCAGAACGGTTTTATACTGAATTGACGCCTGTGGCAAACCTACAGGCTAGCATTCTACACACCACTTAGAAACAAGCATGACAAAAGCACAACAGTTTACAGTGGCAATTCTGCGGAAAACTTTCCGACCACGTTAACGTATAGGTGCATTCGACTGGCGCACGTCTTAAATCCGAGCTCGCTTATCCTGTACACTGTTCTGTGTTTATATTACCCCCGATGAGAGAGCATTGAAGAAGGCAGAGGAGAAGCTTGCTGCTGTCAACCAGCCAGCGCGGTCACCCGTGGTAGCGGGCCCCATGGGGACCCATGCCCACATATTTACTTCTAAGACCATCACGTTTTTTTAATTAAACCTCCTCTTCGACGAGTGGAGGGGTTCGTCTTTCTAAGTAGGCGTTCCACTTATTCCACAATCATTAACCTGGGGTTACCTTACTCACACAGAGACTAAGTAGGGACACAAATATATATATTATATAATCGTACATTATATACAGTTTGTTATTAAATTCTACAACATACATAGACCTCTGTCAATGCAGGCTGGTGCATAAGGTTATGCCTTAACTTAAGACACTTGAACGGTCGTATGCCTGACCGCCGTCGAGTTTAAGCCTTCTTGTCCAGTTTCAGTTACATTTGGATTTTGATGATCACGGATGACTTCTACATGTCTCCTGCATGATACAGTTATGTAGTCATACACGTATGGAGTTTTGAACACCACGTGAGAATTGTGAAACGGCGTGCCTTTATCAAGGTCCCCAAATAGCCGGAGGCGCTACAGTTTTATCAAGAGCGTTCGCCACAGACTCTCAGGTTGGACAGACATAAGTCATTTTTGCTCTAATCAGTGCTCTGTACACGATGGGTTTTGTAGCTGCGCTCAGGTGCTTGGATCTGAATATGCAGTGCATATGTACGTGCACAGGCATTGGCTACGGTCCTAGTCTTCATGTCATTCTTCTATGGAAAATGACACCAAGATATTTTGAATCCTTGAAGTAGGCCACGGCTGCCTTCCTATAAACACCCCCCCCCCACGCATCGTACCCTGTAGTCACATGCTAACCACTGACGTCACAGTCACAGAACACAAGTGCTACTCACCTGCTGAAGAGTTCTATGTTGAAGAACACATATTCTCCACTGTCCACCATGTTGAGTTCTTCAGCGGCCAATAGGATCTCCCGCACCGTGCTGGGGTTGGCGCACACCACCACAACTGCAATGGAGAGGAACCGGGGCATCACCGGGGAGCAGCTTATGAGCAAATGGTTCCAGCTGTACAAAGCTGCATGCGTACAGTCTGGTTGCTTAACGCGCACTAATGACGCGATTAACACAACAGGCACATGCCATCATCTCATACACGCAGGCTACGAGGCACGAGGACATGCAAGCAGACGCAGTAGAGAAGGAGGTGACAGGGAAAGTCGTGGAAGACGTTTATAGTGAGGGAAAAAACAGTATCGTTTTATTATGAAATTTCCGGGCTTCGCCCTCTCGTCCTTCTGGTAAGGGTAGTGTTGGAGTGGTTGGAGACAGAGGCCGCGGGATTCTGTTCCTTCTAGGCAGCAGCCCGGCAAACAGAAGAGTATGTACGAGCTCCTTAACGTTTTCTTTCGTTATGTTGTGTTGCTTTATGGAAAATAATGCTCAGTAACATTATTTTCCAAACGGAGGAATGTGTAAGCCAGTATTAGAATGGAATTTTTCACTTCCCTGTCGCGGACTTATTAGAGAATACGCAAAAGTGCTCTGTGAAATTTACTCCGTAATCCCACCAACATGTACGTTAATCACGGCCCTTAAATCGCTGTGTAAGTATTCTGGTAGAATTTGATGCGATTCGAATTCTCATTCTCGATCTTTTCTAATTACATGACTAAATTTAATTTACTAATGTAAGAGTTATTTCTTCCTTGATATTGCGAATCCTGACAAAGAAAACAGCTGTAGCCCTTGGGAAGACCGGGCGCTCTTCCAGTCTATTCACAAACCGACGAATGACGTCAGCCAGAATAGTCGGTCGAGACTGGAACCAGAAGTCAGCCTAACTGACCG